AAACTTATAGATTTATTATAACTAAATTCTAAATCTGTAATATTATAAATTTTTGTAAATACCAAAAATGAGTCAACTGAGTCAACTCGAGTTGAAACGAGTCGAGTCAATTTATTAATTTGACTCAACTAATGACTCGACTCAAGTCAAATGAGTCAGAAAATTTTTAACTTGACTCGACTCAAACTCGACTCGACTCATTTAACTTATGAGTCAACTCGACTCATTCAGAGTTCTATCTGAAGAGCTGTACGTCCATTTATTGCAACCAAATTAACTTGTTCTATACCATCAGTCAGGTTAGTTAACTCCTAATTTGTCTTTGTAGTAATCTCCTCATCAAACACTTCTAGGCAGTATTGTTATGGGACATAGTTAGGATACTGATGGAACACTGATGGGACATTGATGGGACAGATGGGACATTTGGGACATATATAGGACATAGTTGGGACATATAGATGGGACATATAGCTGGGACAGCAAATGCTTGGGACATAGGAAATGGACATCACTGCTTCTAGGATTCTTTCACTCATACATCCTCTTAAATATCCTATTACTACTTCTCTTCCAGTTGGTGGACCGCCTGCATTATCTGCTGAATTTACACCTTGATTTTGCAAGTATAATCTAAATTTTGCAAAAAAATCTGGGATACCATCATCCCACTTAAAAAATGGTTGAGGAATTCCTGTCATGTTTAGTTGATTAGGTGGATTATTCTGTAACGCTAAAATTTGTCCCTGCAAATTTAAAATATTCTGGCGAAAGATTATTTTTTGAGCCTTCCATTTTTGATACTGATTAAATACTCAAGTTTGGTTGAATTCTGCTAAGTCAGCCTCAGCTTTACGCCTTCGATTATTAGCCGAAGGGCTATCTTTTCTTGTAATAATTCACCAATACAGGTTTGCTTTCTATTCTCCAGATTCTGAGCATTAGTTCGCAACTTTTGAAGGTCACCAATAACTCTTTGTTCCACTCCTTCAGCAAGATTTCTTCATATTATTTTATTATCCCTTTTAGCCTCAGCATTATATTGTCTCCGTTGCTCACAAGCTAAGTCCTGATGCAAATTATTCTCTTTTCGATAAATCTGTCTTATTGTTCTTTTTATTTGACCAGCCAAGATTTCTTTATTTATTGTTGAATTATTTAGATAACCATCTATAGCATTTGTTAGCTCTATGATTGTAGCTATATTATCATCAGAATTATATTGATCAGGAGAATTCCCTCATATTGGTGAATTTTTTCGTGATAAAATAACCTTAATCCAGCATCTCAATTTTTCTACCTGTTCCTCAAATTTTACCAATTGCTCTTTTAAGGTAGAAATATATTATTCCTTATCTCACACATCCTTCTTAGCTTGATATAGCTGATTTTTTAGACTGAGGATTTCGAATTTTAGCTCAGCTATCTCTTCTTCTAAAGCATTCTCAAGACGTTTTATGTCTTTATTGAGATCTTGGATTTCTTGCTCATACTGGCTATATTCACGCTCCAGTTGATTAAACCGTTTCTCATTTAGACAATTATTTTCTACATCTGTTTGTAATACATTTCGAAGATGATAGTTATCTTTCTCTAACTTGGTTTTACTTTCTTCACAAGTTCTTTTCTTTCTTGAATGAGGTCTGTGAAATATCATTTTTTTCATTATTATAAAGAGATTTGAAATGAAAGAACCCTATATTGATCCTCAGAAAGCACATGATCTTGACCAAAATCTTGCTTTACAGAAGCTATATTATCAATCTGAAGGAAGGCCTTTACCAAAATATTAAGGGATGATGGGATGCATGTAAAAAAACTGGACATACCATCCTATTTACTGATGTAAAAAAATGGCTTGATGCTCAAGCAATATATCAAATCTTTTGTCTTTCACCTAAGCATATACCTTATGCTAGCTATTCTAGAATCACAAAACTGAATACTGTATATCAGTGTGATTTGATCGAAATATTATATGATGAAGAAGTGAATACAAATTTGCTAAATAATGAGCCAATATATAGGAGACAGTCAATAGAAAAGAGGAAAATTCAAATTTTGGTTAAATTTATATTATTGGACCACTTGGATGATCTTGGTCATGTGCATAAAATTAGCTTAATAATTAAAATTAACAAAAATTTTGGATTTTCCCCTTTTCTACTGACTGCTTCTCATATTACTATGTGCTATTGGTTATAGAATGCGCGATTAGGTATAAATATTTTATTTTTTTAATGTCAAAAAGTAGTGAAGAAGTTGCAAAGGCTTTAAGAGTATTTATGATAATTATGACAAATTTCTTAACTGGTCTCGAAAACTACAATGTAATAAGAGCATTGAGTTTATGGGATATGTAACTTTATTAATAAATAAGCATGGTATTGAAATCTGAAGAATTATAGCATGTTCAGATATACTAACTTAGCCTTTGTTGACCATTATGCCAGAATATTCGAATTAAAGTTTTTAAAAACTAGTATGCTATAGAGTTTCTCTTACCTACTGGTAAATTCTATAGAGAATGTGAATTATTTGCGAGGAGGATTGTTGATAATATGAATGCTACCCCTATTTGATTAATTGGAATAAGTCCTAATAATGTCACAACACTTGATCAGATATATTTCAAACCATCGGTAAAATATAAATGCTCATTAGGCATTGATGAACCACAAATTCCAAAGGATACTATTGTCTGATTCTTACTTGCTAAAGGAGAATGGGAAAATAATCCTTTCAAATGATGCAGAATAACAGATCCAATATGGTCCCTAGCCTACATAAAATCTAAAGAATTATTGTAAGAGAACAATTAATGCATATTAAAAAAGAGCCAATGCTTCCTCCTAGGTGAATATTGAAAGATAACCAAATGCATGCAAGGCACTTTTTATAAATATTTTTAAGTCTATAATGCAATAGGGTATTGTAATAAGGATTACTTCTTCTTCATAACATAATGCCTTCTTTTTCCAATCATGCTGAATTTGCGTATCTATATTCATCTGCTCTTCTGGATGAAAAAAAGGTACGATTTAGTAATATTGGTTACCATTATATTCGAAGGCCAAACCTAGTTCTTCATTTTATCCATCTAGATATAAACCTTCTAAAAATTTAGGTTTTCAGAGTGGGAATTTTTTATTTAATAAATCTTTGAATATATACCGATATGTTCTTTCTGATACATTAGGGCAAATATTACACCATCTATAATTCTGTTTCATAATTTTATATGGCGCCTCCCATTGATGACACTTTTTACATATTTATAAATAAATGTTAGAATTACTACTAACTCTAACTAAGCATCTTCCTTCATGTTTCTGGGCATATGCTAAAACTTTGGTATCAGTTTCGTTATGATATTGCATTTTATAGGCGTAGAAGAATTGATCTGAATATATGCAAATCCAGATTACTAGTTCAAAAGTAGAATTAAACTTCATTTTATAGGCGTAGAAGAATTGATCTGAATATATGCAAATCCAGATTACTAGTTCAAAAGTAGAATTAAACTTGGCTACTAGTATTGCATAACAAAAAAAGATAAATATCTCCAGTACTTTTATTGAAAGTGGGATCAGACTTCTGTCTCACATTAATATCAAGAATTAGACACAAAGATAAGTTCCTATTGATACATTCATAAGAATCGGGTAATCCATAAATCTCAGAAGGATGATTAACTAGTATAAAACCCTTTTCAGATACTCGAATGATATATTTAGAAAAAAATCTCTTTGACAAACGCCTAAAAGAACGATATCATCTTTAGTATTAGTTTCCAATAAATGATGAAAATATGTATGATCATTATAGCCCAGCTCAAATCAAGGTCTGCTACACCTAAAAAGAGCCTTATTGCTTCATTTATTTCTTCAAGATTGGGTTCGATTTTTTTTTACGCAAGTAGCATGATAAGTATGTAAAGGAAGTTAATATGAAATTACATAGAAAATACTAAATCTTCAAAATTATTATTTTGAGCGAATATGATTGTTAGTAAAATACTAGAGCAAATCTTTTCTTGTCTTCTTCGGTCTTAATTCGCTCATATTTAATGGCTAGAATCTCATTAATTTTGACCAGCTCTTGATCAATTCTTCGAACGAATTCTTGTATGGCATTTTCTCTCTTATATAAGAATGACCTCAGACATCTCCAGTATCAATCTAGTGAACCAAATAGCAGAAACTGTTGGCCTTCTGCTCAGTGAGTTTAATAATACTTTCACCATATGTCTTATTACATTTCTTATTATCAACTTCAAAGTCAGCTGTAATAATACATGGAACATTGATCATTTGACCATAGGTTTTGAACTTCTCGTAATCATTGACCCCTTTTACTGGTATTGCGACTTTTTGAGAGGCATTTTTATGTATTCTTGAACATCATTCTAAATAATGTTCTAGAGACTTTTCAGAAGGTCAGCTTATAGTGCATTCATCATATTGTAGAGTCAACAATTTTATTATTTAATGCACAGTAATACAAAAGAAAATGATGAACAATATACAGTAAAAAGTCACAAGGAAAATTCATATGATAAAAGAGAAATAATCATTTTATTAAGAGAAAGAATAATACTCGGATAAATTACAGACTGAAAAGGAAGATTACACAAAACGGATAAATCACGGAAGAAATTATTCAGATAAATTAATTACCGAAAGAAAAAAGATAATTAATTAACCGAATGGAGGGTTAAGGAAAAAGGATAATTAATCAACCAGACGGAGGAGGGTCTTATAAAAAGACAAAAATATTTGAAAAATAACAAATTGAAAAAGTTACATGAAGATGCAAGAAGGTTACACAAAGGCACACTTATTAGGAATTACAGACTGGATCACATGGAAGCTTGTGTAATATAAAGGTTACACATGACATCATAAACGAAATGAAAATCAGAAGAAGAATGGAAGTTAGTAGTGATACGAAGTACGAAAGAAAGACAGAAGTCCGAAAAAGTAAGACAGAAAAATTATTATTAAAACATTAAATAATTATAAGAAAAACAAATGAGAATTAATATAACAGAAGTAAGAATAACATAATGGAAGTAAAAGTAATATAACGGAAGTATGAATTAATACAACGAAATAAAATTAAATAGTAAACAGTAAACAATAAATAGTAAATAAATACGGAATTTAGTAATGAACAATAGAAAATTAGGAATAATAGTAAATATAGAAATCATATATAGAAAATCATGTAGTAAAAATCATGTAACGAATATTAC